AAGTTCATAAATTTAAAGTTCAGTTCAGGTTCAGGTTTAAAGATTTGCAAAATTTAAAGTTCAGTTCAGGTTCAATTGAACTTGAACCTGAACTTAAATTAAACTGAACTGAACTTCGGAACACTATACGAAGTCTTGTAGAAGTTTATATACAAATATAAAATTAGATTAAGAATTTTTGGAAGAAGCTCAAGGATGGTTTCCTTATCTTCCCGAAGATCGAGTTTTGTACCAACAAGGATGATAGGAATATTTGGTGCATGATGGGTAATTTCTGGGTACCACTATGCATAAAAAAAAATATATATGCATTAGGATACTGAATTCTAATAGGTTCTTTATGATTAATAATTTGTATGTATATGACTGAAAATGATTTTTTTACCTTGCCCCGAACGTTTTCAAAAGAGGAAGGACTAACCAAGGAAAAGCAAATCAAGAATACATCCGTTTGAGGGTATGAAAGGGGCCGCAAACGATCGTAATCTTCTTGACCAGCAGTATCCCAAAGACCAAGATTAATGGGCTTACCGTCGACCATTACATTTGCGGAGTAATTATCAAATCTAAAGTAGACATGTAAATAAACACATTCCAAGTATGAAACTTTCTACAATCATACCTGGGTTATATCACCCCTTTTTATCTCTGTATTTTTTGGGAGATATGGGATATATAATTAAATATATAAAGCATATGAAAAAAAGAAATTTATTCTGCTTAAATATGGGTATAATACTGAGGTGTTAAATAAAAGGAGGAGATATAACCCAGGTGCGACTGTATAATCAGATATAATAATAATTCATACTTACACAGTTGGAATATATTCACCGGGAAATGCATTAGTGGTATAACTAATTAGAAGGCAGGTCTTCCCAACGGCACTATAATAAATTATTGTTATATTAACTATATTAGCTTTCAAAACCATAAGCTTAATACATTCAATTTTTATAGATTCGCGCTCTCATCTTTCTTTTATCAACAGACGAGCAAAACTCTTACAAATTCAAATTCATCAAATTGCCAACATTTCAGCTCAAGATGATGGCAAATGCATAGTACATCTGTTCAAGATTTATGAAATGCAGAACACTTACCCATCACCAACCACAACACATTTAATGGCTTGCATTTTTCTAATAAAGGTTAATGAAGCAGATCTATAAGCTTTCAGCGAAAGAAAAATGAACCAGGATATATATTATTTTTCTTTTTGCGTGAACAAATGAAGGAAAGGAATGAAATGGTTTCTTTCGACTGTGAAGGACGAAGCGTTTCAAGCAAGAAATAGACAGTTTTTAAATGGGTGCCTGTCGTGCTACGATTGTGATTAGTTTATGCAGTCGGATTATTGGGCATAGAAATGCATTAAATTTTGAAAGACATTAGTTGTGATTAAATTTATCCGCGGCGCAGCACAAAGATAAATTTTTCATAACTTAAATGGATTTGTATTTGGTTAGTGTTAATCATCATAATCGTTATAACCAGTCGTACGTATAACCAGACTAAAAATTTACCGTACAGTATATGTTGTAAGTGGGAATGGATTCGGAATTTCCGTTAAATTAAGGTTAGGGTAAGGGTGTATATATGATAAAATCAAACCCAAAATGCTGGTTTATATAAAAATTCCGTTTCCACTTAATTCTGCTTCCACTTACAACATATATATCTCGAAATAACGCCCAGGTTAGTTTAAATTTTTGGCCCGAATTAAGCTTAATTTAGGCCGAATTAAGCTTAATTCGTGCTAAAATTTTAGTTTTAAAGACAGTTTATTTCATACGCTTAAATCAGACTGGTGGATTGAGTTATTTTTTGTCAGACTGTCTAGAAATGAACTGAAAACTGTCTATGAAATAAATTGTTAGCGAATTAATTTTCTTTAAAATAAACCTGTCTATAAATTGTGAAATAATACGTATCATTTCGAGATAATACTGTAATACGGTATGTTTATTGTGCAGATTAAAATGAAATTTTGTATAATGCAAAATAAATAAGCCACCAAAAAATACAAAATTTTGGTTAGGGATTAGCTTTAGTGTAAAATTTATAGTAAACAAGTATAAGTGGGTTTTATAAAGTTAATTAAAACCCAAATTTACCAACAGTTTAAAAAAATTTGCAAATCAATTTTTTTTAGTTTATTAAGGTTAGTATTAGTTGTTAATAAAATATGAAATAATTGCTTAAACTGTTTATTAAATCATTTGGGATGTTCTATAGAATAGATGAGCAAGTCTTGCAAACTTCACAAACTCCACAACTCCAATATTAAAAAATTAATAATTACTATATAATTATTAGTAAAGTTTATTTCTTATATTCTATAGAATATAAAATATTTTATATATTGGTAAAGTATAAATTTATATAGTAATTAAAAAAGGATAAATATATGCATCGCCTACTGTGATGTGTTTATATATTGCATCTATATATATAAATTATAATTTGTCTTATAACAACTAAAGTAACCGGGATTTTTTTTGTTTGGTTAGAGT